CGCTGCTCGCAGTGGCCTCGGGCCCGCGAATATTGCCACCATTTGCCGCAAACTCAGCGTCAAAATGAGCTGTCACTGGTGGAATGGTGTCCTTGAGAAGCAGGAGGAGCGACGACAGCCCTCCGCCGTCTATGGGCTGCAAGGCGCCAGCCAAAGGGGAGGCCAGCGCACGCGTGGCAGACCTTGGCCCGGGGTCGATGTGATCGCCGCCCCTAGGCACGGCAATGGCGGCGCAATCTGCGCAGGCGATCTCGGTGCCTCCGTCGAGGCAGGCTCCATTTGCGTACAGGTCGGGCTCTGCAGGCGGCGAGCCCTCGTCGCGGCCCTCGATCCGCTTCGCGCGCGCCAGGAAGTCGCCGCCTGGCGGCCTCCACTCCGTGAGCGGTTCTGGCGGCCACAACCTCTCGAGCGGAGTCCCGATCGCGATGGAGTCGCCCATGTCCTTGAAACGCCGCAGCTCCCCCGGCAGGGTCAAAGACGGCCGGGCGTCTTGACGCCCCATGTGCCAATGCCCAGGCGCCCCCGTGTTGCTGGGGCACAGCGAGCAGACCGAGTAATAACGTAGGCCTGCCGCACAGCGCCGATCATTAAGCCAGCGCCTCCTGGAGCCCCCCCCCCTCGCCCTCGTCCGCCGCGCTGCCGAGAAGCCCCCCGAATCAATGGGCGCCTCGATGCCTAGGTCATCCAACAGATTGAATTCGCTCGGGCGGACGCTGTCAACATTGGGCCCAGACTGAGGCTTGAAGGGCGACATCAATTTCCGCAGCTCAGCCACAGAAGGCCTATCGGGGCGCTCTCCGAGGTCCTCTGGCCACGGCAGACGGTGCCTCTCGGGCTCGGGCTCCCTCGGGGAGTTCGCAACTGCCTCAACTTTTGGCTCTGTCTCTTGCACGCCACCACCTGCAGTCTGGACTGGCGGAGCCTGGGGGGCAACGACGTTCCAGTAAGGGAGGCGCTCGTCGACCAGCGACTGCAGGCTCTGCTGAATGGTGAGCGGCGCCAGACCAACCGCGTAGGCTGGCTGCGCATTCCAAGACTGAGCCGCCCTCGTGACAGAACGGGTGCCGCCTGAACCCGTGGCGACGGAGTGCAGCACCCAGTCGTTGTAGTTCTTGGAGGCTTGATCGAGATCCGTCTTGACCCTGGCCTCAGACCAGCTGAAACACGCCGCACTGAGCGCATCGAGCTGATCGACGGAGAAAAAATGCGCGCCGCTGGCGATGATGTTGACCACGCCCTGCAGCTCTGTGAGATCGGACGGCGGCCTGATAACCAGCCTGCCCAAGGCGCGCAGGGCTCCGAACCTGGTGAGCGGCCGCTCGATCTGCGCTGCGTCTCGGAGACAGGTAGCAATCGTCATGCACCAAGTCGAAGCTCGAGTGGCACGCGGCAGCCTGGGCGGCGACAGCGCCGTGGCTGAGGTGGCTGAAAGCCTGGGCTGTTCCGCGCGACCAGAATACCTGTCGAGCTCATGGATGAGCCCGCGCGCGTCAATCATGTTGACCTCCGCCTGCTTGAAGAAGGCCTTCCACATGCTGTCCAGGTCGGTCATGCGCTCGAGCTGGTCGCGGACTGCACGCCAAACTGAGCCATGATCCTGTGCGCAGCAGGCCAGCGGCCTGGGCAGCGGCAGCCACCTAACCGCACGCACGACGGTGACCTTATGATGCTTGCTCGGGCCGAGCAACTCGAGCGCACGATCGCTGGCGTGACGGCCCCGAACCGCGCGACCATCTCGTCGAGCGGCTGCAACAACATGAGCTTCATAAAGCCCGTGGCGAACGCGTCTCCAGTGAGCAGAGGGAGCTTCCGCGCCTCCGAGCCCAAGACACCAGCGGCTGCCTTACGACGTGCCAGCTCAACCTTGTCTCGGCTGCTGCGTGGAAGTCCGTCCTTGACGATCTCATACGACTCCATGGCCATGGCTGCGTAGGCTGCAATCTTCTCAGGGGAGAGCGTGAGGGGAGCAGCAGGCCCTCCGCCGTTAGGACCGAGCCCGTTGCCTCCACGTCCTTTGCCGCCGCCGCCCTTGGGTCCCTGCTTGGCCCAGGGAACTCCGAGAATGCCGCCGCCGACAGCCGGGTTACCCCAAGGCTTGTGGTTGTCGTTTGCTGCTGGTACGTTGTGGTCCGTGAGCTTGTCCTTACAGCCTGCCTTGGTACAGAGTGAGAGATGTTGAACCACCGCGCCGCACGCACTGCCACCACTTCGCCATGGGAGCCAGATGGTCCAAGCGACCAGACAGAGTCGGAACAAGACTGCGCACCCTCGGGCTGAGGGAGGCAGGTGATGACCAGGGGCGGACCTGGCACCACAAGAGGATGAATCGCAAGGTCGGGAAACAGAGCTATCCCGCTTTCGCCTGGAGGCTTGCAGCCTCCCAAGCATGGAATCTTGAGCCAACATGGCTACGGAGTGCCACTGGGGCCTTCGGTGGAGCTCCCTATGGGGCCACGAACCCTGTGAGGGGTGCGCCGAAATGAGGGTAGAACTGCATGCGAACGCAGCCACTGGGGCCTTCGGTGGAGCTCCCTATGGGGCCACGAACCCTGTGAGGGGTGTGCTGAAATGAGGGTGGAACTGCATGCGAACGCTGCCACAAGGGCCTTCGGTGGAGCTCCCTATGGGGCCACGAACCCTGCGAGGGGTGCGCCGACATGGGATGGGCATGCGGAAAGCAGAGGCAAGGATGGGAAGCAGGAGGGAGGAGGAGGGAGGAGGAGGAGGAGGAGGAGGAAGGAGGAAGGAGGAGAACGCGGGGACCGTCTCTTCAAAACGAGGACCCAACACCACAGGATGGGTTGGGATAAACAATCAGAGAATATTCCAAAATGGGCGAAAATAGTCCCCAGACTATTTTTTACTATTTTGGAGTATGCCTCCTGTAGAGGGACGCGCCCGACTTCAGGCCAGGGCAGAGAAAGAAGCGGCTCACGCAGTCGGTTTCCCTGGCGCCTCCTGGCGCCGGGAAGCGCCCACGCATCGAGGGAAGGGCCCAGCGGCGGGGCGGAGACAAGCTGCATGCAGCAGCTTTCGTCCCCCCTCTTTCCGACCCAGACATGCGGCTGCTCCAATATCTTTTCGGTGCCATGCGTAAACTCCGGAGGTCCGGGCTGCTCCCCGGGGCCGGCTTTTCGTCCCGCTGACGCTCCCGAGAGCCGGCGAGGGCCCCCGGAGGCCGGGAACTGCTAAAATCCTGGCGCTCCAATTTTTGTTGGAGCGTCGGATCTCTGGGAAATTCGTACCTCCCCTGTCCGAGCCCTTTCGACCAGGCCGAGCCTGGGCGGAGTCCTCGGCGCCCGCGCGGCCGCCAGAGGCGGCAGGCGGGAGCCGTCGGCGGCGCAGGCGGCCGCCGGCACCGCCGAGCTAGTCCTCGCAGGTGACACTCGCACTTGTGCAGGCGCGCTAATGTCGGACGGCGCGCAGGAGGGAGGAGGAGGAGGAGGAGGAGGAGGAGGAGGAGGAGGAGGAGGAGGAGGGCGGGGAGGAGGAGGAGGAGAGGAGGGGAGGAGGAGGAGGAGGAGGAGGCGGAGGAGGAAGAGGAGGAGAGGAGGAGGCGGAGGAGGAGGAGGAGAGAGGAGAGGTGGAGGAGGGAGGAGGAGGAGGAGGAGGAGGAGGAGGAGGAGGAGGAGGAGGAGGAGCCGCCTACGTCCTCGTCACGATGTCCAGCGAATCGGAGTTCGTAGGCCACGGCGGGAAGACCCCTCCCCCCTGGGAGTGGCCGCCGTCTTGGACGGCTGGACACCCGCGGGACAGCCGCCCTCCTCGAGGGAGGGACGGCGGAAGTGAGTCCGCCGGCTCCCGATCCACGTGCGCTGGCCGCGGGAAGGCCCCGCGCGCGCCGCCGGAGGAGGAGGAGGAGGAGGAGGAGGAGGAGAAAGAGGAGGAGAAGGAGGAGGAGGGAGGAGAGGGGAGGAGGCGGAGGAGGAGGAGGAGGAGAACCAGTGGAAACCTAAGAGTCGTCAGCCATGTTGGAATTAACCCTCCCGCAGAATTCCCGTTTCATAGGCCCCATACAACGGTTCATTTCCATTGAGGGAACTGCCTCATTGGAAGACGACAGTTTGATGATCCTGAAGCGTGACAAAACATTGTTCTCGGGATTTCAACGCCACGTATCAACCTGACTGCTGCGTCTTGACGATCCAAAACCGTACCAGACAGCCATTGTTGGGACTCCAGCACAGCGAATCAACATAACTCTTGCGCCCGCATAATCCTGAATCCTTCCAAAACGCAATTTCTGGTACATTGATCATGGGAATCCGTGAAACGCTTGCAAATTTTAAGCAAACGGCCCGCCCTCAATCCGTGAAGTTCTTGCACTTGTTTTTAAATGTGCGCGGCGCTAAGGCGAAAACAACATTTTGAAAACAACCCGCCCTCAATCCGTGAAACTCTTGCAAATGTTTAAAAACGAATGTGCGCGGCGCTAAGGCGAGAACCAGATTTTGAAAACGACCCGCCATCAATCTCTGAAGCTCTGGCAAATGTTTAAACGAATGTGCGCGGCGCTACGGCGAAAACCACACTTTGAAAACGACCCGCCCTCGATCCGTGCAACGTTTGCAATTTATAGGAACGAACGTGCACGGCGCTAATGCGAGAGCCACATTTTGAAAACCACCCGCCCTCCATCTGTGAAATTGTTGTCGCTGTTTGAGCTTCATAATCATAAGTGGTGAGTAAGTCTCAAGCGAAACGCCCAGCCCGCCCTAAAAAACTGGCCTCGGTGTGCGACAGGGAGAAGTTATCTATAAGGAGGAGGAATGGAGGAGGAGGAGGAGGAGGAGGAGGAGGAGGAGGAGGAGGAGGAGGAGGAGGAGGAGGGAGGAGGAGGAGGAGGAGGAGGAGGAGGAGGAGGAGAGAAAGCGGGAGGCTGAGGGGGCGTGGGGCGGGGGGATTGGAGAGTATGGCGGGGGATGGAGAAGGATGGGCTGCCTGGTGAGGACGAGGCTGGCCCCAGGGGAGCGGCGGGACATCGGCGACGGCCGCTTGCATGCTGGAGCTTGTCGTCCAGGCTCTTGGAGCCCCTGTACTGGATGCCAGGGTAGGGCTTGGGCACCTGGGGTCCTCCCACAACTCACCTCCTCAGCCTTCAAGTCCGCATTCCCCCCCCCATCCGTTTTCTCTCTCTCTCTCTCTCTCTCTCTCTCTCTTATATATATATATATATATATTATATATATATATATATTATTACAGGGCCGGGGACCCCCGGAAAGCGGCACACGGTGCCCACCCACCCCCCCCCCCAAACGAATTTCGGCCTCCCCGAGCCTCTGGGGCGCTCCTGCAGAGTGCTTCCGTGGATCTCCGGTCCTCCTGGACCCCCCAGGCAGGTCTGTCCTGCGAGTCCGACGCGAAATAAGAAGCCCCCACGACGGCCAAAGAGGGCCCCGAGACACCCAAAGATCGGCCCAAGACTGCCCAAGAGGCCTCCAAGACGCCCCAAGAGACCCCAAGAGGCCTCCCAAGAGAGCCCCGAGAGGCTAAAATGGTTGATTTTCCTGTGTGTTTTTCTATGTTTTTGGCCTTTTCGCTTTTTCCGCTTCCCCGCGCTCCATCACGGCCCAAGACAAGAGGCTCCCTAGATCGCCCCAGTACTGCCCAAGAGGCCCCCAAGAAGGCCCCAACACAGTCCAGGAGGGCTCCAAGACCGCCCAAGAGGCGCCCAAGGCGGCCCAAGAGAGCGCCAAAACGGCCCCAAGAGAAGCCCAAGAGGGCGCCCAAAAATTCAAAACTTAAGTTTTCCGCCGCGAGCGGGCCCCGAGAGGCCCCAAGAGGCTCCCCAGAGGCCCCAAGAGGCTCCCCAGAGGCCCCAAGGAGCCCCCAAGAGGCCCCCAAGAGGCCCCAAAAAGATCCCAAGAGGCCCACAAACAGCCCCCAAGAGGCTTCAAAACTGCCTCCCAGAGGCCCCCGAGAGGCGTACCACGAGATCCCAACACAGCGGCCTCCCCCTCTCATTATCCCTTCTCTTTGTCGTCGCCTTCTTCGTCGTCGTCGTTGTCGTCGTCCCCATCCTCTTCCTCGTCTTGATTCCTCCTTCTCCTCCTCCTCCTCCTCCTCCTTCTCCTCATCCTCTTCAGCTCTTCCGGTTCAGCTCAATCGGCACAGGACTGAGGAGGAGAAACAGGAGGAGAAGCAGGAGGAAGGGGGGGAAAGAAACGGGCACAGAAAAATACGAGGACAAATAGAACGAGGAGCAGATAAAGGAGCGCGGAGGAGAAGTAACGATTACGATTACCACCCAGCTAGCAAACGAAGCAAGGGGAAAAGGATGAGGAAGAAGCAGTAGTCGAACCCGCTTCGCTTTGGATGTCCTCGCAACTCCGACTGCGGAAATGCATTGCTCCATAGTGTTCCCGCTTTCTTCGCCTGAGACATTCTTGCAGACCTTCCGAGATGCGCATGTGCATGCGCGCCCAGGGCTGCGCAAACGATTTGCGTATACGTGTACATACCCTTGCACGCGTACATTCATATTCACAAATACAACGTGTACGTATGGGCGCAGATGCGCGCGTATGTACGCACGCACGCACTCCGCTAGCTTGCGAAACTCAAGGACCAAGGTGCATGGCGCGCAGCGCCAGTGCAGTCTTGTATATATATATATATATGGATTTCTCTGTCTTTCCCTCTCTCTCTCACGCTCGCTCTCTTTGTTATGTGTTTTCTCTCTCGCTCTCTCGTTTTCTCTTCCTCCTCAGATGTCTTGCATATCCTCCTCATATCCTGTTTTTTGGTTTTGTCCCTACCTAGGCTCTGCCTAGAAGGGTTCTTACCCTGCATGCTTCAAGGGCCGGGCAGTGGGTCCCGCCCCGGGCGGTTCCCCCGGCATCCGCCCGGCGGTTCCCCCAGGATCCGCCCCGCGGTTCCCCGTAAGCTTCGCTTAGCTTAGCCTAGCTTATCTCATCTTAGCTTAGCTTAGTTTAGCTTTGCCTAGCCTAACTTAGCTTAGCTTAGCTTAGCCTAACTGATCTCATCTTCGCTCAGCTTAGCTTAGCTGAGCTTAGCTTAGCCTAGCCTAGCCTAGCTTAGCTTAGCTTAACATAGCTTAGCTTAGCTTACCTTAGCGCAACATTAGCACAGCATAGCATAGCATAGCATAGCCAAGCATGGCATAACATATCATATCATGGCTCAGCATATCGTAACGTATCATAGCATAGCGCAGCATAGCACAGCATAGTATCGCATAGCATTGCTTAGCATAGCACAGCGCAGCATAGCGCAGCACAGCATAGCACAGCATAGCATAGCGCAGCATACTATAGCATATCATCGCAAAGCATAGCATAGCACAACATATCATATCATAGCCTAGCATGGCATAGCGCGGAATATCATAGCATAGCATAGCACAGCAAAACTTAGCATATCATATCATAGCATAGCATAGCGCAGCATCGCATATCATAACATAGCATAGCATAGCACAGCGCAGCATATCATATCATATCATAGCATAGCATAGGCAGCATATATGTAGGTGTAGATGTAGGTGTATATGTAGGTGCAGATGTAGATGTATGTGAGTATCGCTGTTGATGCTGATGTAGATGTAGATGCAGGTGTATATGTAAATGTAGATGTCGGTGTAGATGTAGATGTTGCTTTCCTAAATGCTCCAACTCCTAGGTAGGGTCGCACTGGGATAATCTCTCTCTCTCTCTCTCTCCCAAGAGAAAGGGCGCGAGGCGGGAGGGCACCTTCACCAGGAACTGCGGCGGGTCGTGCCGCGAGGACTCGCCGACTGAGTCGAGCTGCGGGTGCTTTGGAACCTCGCACGTCACCTGGAGCCAAAATGTGGAGGGGGGGAGGAGGAGGAGGAGGAGGAGGAGGAGGAGGAGGAGGAGGAGGAGGAGGAGGAGGGAAAAGAAGAGGATGAGGAGGACGAGGAGGAGGAGGAGGGGGGGAGGAGGTGGGGAGGAGGAGGAAGAGGAAGAGGAAAAGGAGGAGAGAGGAAAGGAGGAGGAAAAGGAGGAGAGGAGGAGGAGTGGGGGAGGAGGAGGAGGAGGGGAGGAGGGAGGAGGAGGAGGCGAGGAGGAGGAGGAGGAGGAGGAGGAGCTGGAAGAGGAGGAAAAGGAGGAGGAGGAGGAGGAGAAGAGAGGAAGGGGGTGGGGGTGGGGGGGGGCTTGGCCCAAGCCAGCGACAGGAGCGCCCCAAAAAGCCTCAAACAACACGATGCGAAAATGCCTGGGTGACGGACGACTGGCGACGGCAGCGCTGCTCACCGGTCGGAAGAGGTGGGTGGAAGCATGAGGCAGGAGAGCGCTGGAAGTCGATTGGGGTTCCGCCCGCCCCCCCGAAGAGGAGGGAAGCGGGAATACCTCTCGACTCTCGAAACAGGAAGGCGCGTGCAGTAGTGATTGGGATCTGGAGTCCAGATCAACCTTTAAGTCGGGCATGTCCCCCCACAAGCGGATTTTGGACGAAAATTTGAAAATTCCCAAACAAAACAAAACATGCGCAAAAAATCGTTCCCAGGCTAATGTATACTATTTTGGAATATTCCCCCTGTTGAGGGAAGGCCCGGCTTAAACGTAGCCGTCGGAGTAAAAACTGTCGTCTTGGCCCTCTCGTCCCCGACCGCCATGGAGACCGCGAAAGAGACGTGCCCGACCGCGACGAAGACGCCACCCTATCCCGTGAGCAGTTGGCGGCGCGCACAAGGGGGCAGGGGGGGCTTCTCAGAAGGAGGTTTTTTCTTGGAAGGTGCCGGCCGCACATCTATAGACAAGGCCCGCGCCTTCTGAGAAGCGGGGGTGCTTCTGAGAAGCCTTGCCCGCTCCCCCATACCCCCCTTATGCGCGTGGCTGAAGTAGAACAGGGCGAAGTCCACCAGCAGCAAAAAAGAAACAGGAGCGGGACCATTCCCCGCGTGTTTCTTGTTCGTCGGTCTCGTTCAGGCGTCACGATGCGCAAGATAAGCCAAGATGCTCTTCGCAGGTTTTCCCGCCCGGATCGACAAGAGCGCCTAGCTTCGCGCGTCGCGCTGCGCGAAGCGCGAATAACTTCGCGCCCTCGCGCCGCCCCCCAGGGGAGGAGGAGGGGGAGGAGGAGGAGAAGGAGGAGAAGGAGGAGCAGGGGGAAGGAGGAGGAGGAGGAGGAGGAGGAGGAGGAGGAGGAGGAGGGGGAAGGAGGAGGAGGAGGAGGAGGAAACTCTGGAGACTCTGCCTGATCGCGTAGCGATAAGGAGGAGGAGGAGGAGGAGGAGGAGGAAGAGGAACGGGAACCGAACCGCGGAGCGCGAATAGCGCCGCGCTCTCGAGGGCGCCCTTGAGAAAAAAGCGCACGTCCGAGCAATGCCAACAGGGGGGGCAGGAGCAGAGGGGGCGGCGACGGCAACGATATCGGACCAAGTTCGTCTCACGAACGACCAGGCGCAAGCTGAACGGCACTTTACAATATGTGATCTATCGGGCGCAGAATGCGAAACATGTAGCCTCCCCCAAGGGAGGTGGGAGCCCCGAGTTGACTTCGCTCGACTACCGAGGTCGAGAGACACGGACCAGGGCCCAAAGAAACTCAGAATT